ATCAGCTGCATAATTTTTTCTCACAAGTTGTTGAGCAATATTTTAAAAAACAGCATAATTCAATTCAATAATTTTTGTAACTCTATCAGTAATGGCGTAACACAGTGATTACCACAGGCCTGTTGTCAATTAAAAATTATTAAAAAACATAATAAATCAAGAAGTGCACGAAACATTGAAAGGAAATAAAAGCAAAAAAACTCAAAGCGGCTTTTGCTGATATTTGATCATCGAACGGACTTGTCAATCCGGTATATTAATCGTTTTCTTCCTAATAAGCGTCTGTAATTTCTTATTTACAATGGCAGTAGATCGGGAGATATTTCAAGTGTTTAAAATCAAATCCAACCGCGTCAAGACATCCGCTATGTGCACTAGTCAATTGCTTACCTTAAATGCCCGCCGACAACTGTGTAATTAACACCTATTTAATGAATGACTAGAACTTTATAATTACTCAGGTGTTATGCAAATTGTCTAATTGATGCTTTCCGTTTTGAACAATTTACAAAAAAATCATTAAAACTAAATTAATTTTTTAATTTTTTGATAAATCGCCTTAACGACTTCATTGAATTAATTTATGCTAATTAAATGGACGATAATGAATTTTAAATAGCCGAATTTATATTCCAAACGAGTTTACTTTAAATTAAACGATACCATATATTCAATGAACTATTGGTTATATAAACTGCAATATTTTGGTAACACTGCTTTTAGTATCTAATCGAGATACAGAAAATATAAAGCACACTGTATATTAAATCTAAGAGTAATATTCAATAAAATCGATTGATTAGAGCAAAACAAACAGAGCGGGAACCTAAGGGCGCTATTTGAATACATCCCATATAGGTAACCCGCGCATTATCTACAAAATTAACTACAATCGACTATAAATTGCACACGAGATTCGTCCTTAATCATACATGCACCGAAAATCGGACTATAATTAATAAGATGGGTGGTCCTAATTTAACTACACTGCAACCCTATTAATTTAATCATAAAAATGTTGCGATAAAAAATTATATAGGCGCCCCTCGTAACGTATTAGATTTTTATCGGTAGAACTACTACACGAGCTTAAAAAGATGATCATACCTGCCTCATACCTGTAAGAATATTTACTCTAGCACAGTATGCAAAAATTTATGCAAAAATTTTTGCAAAACATATGCAAAAATTTCCTCGTAACTATATGTACATAAATATAAAAGTATATTAATATATTTCTTAATAATAGAATTCGTTATAATTGGTAACGTTCAAAAATTCCCTAGACTAATTCAATTTAAATCTTCCATTCCTTTACTTTTACTTAAAGACTATAAAGAGATTAATAAAAAAGTCTTTGTAAAAGAATGCCCGACGCATTCCTATCATATTTTCACAATTAAACAAAATTGTAATTCTTCTTATACGGATAATAAGTAGATTTTTATGTTCTTTTTTAATAACGCTCCAAAGGAGTTTTTCTTAATCCGAATAGTGGACGATGCAATACGTATTTATGTAATTTTCGGTTTTAGTTTTGATAACGATTCATTTGAATGTTTTGTAATGGAAAAAGTTGTATAATATATGACAAAATTCGCAGATTAGTTTTACTAGGACAATAACCTTGCTGTTTTATTAATATTTCCTTCTTCATATTAGAATGAACCGAATCAACAGTGCGTTCCGAGGTATTGTGTTTATGGGATTCCTATATCAAAAATTTACTATTTTCTCAATATTTCTAACAAAATTGATGAAAACGAAAATTATGCGATAAATCAAGTCGTGAATTAATAATATAAACTATACCATTAAAATAGCGGATTTTAGAAATCCAATTTCTCTAAACTAAAAATACCAGGACAAAATTTTCAAGAACTACTCGTTTACTAGATATGTACGGTCTATAAATGTCTCAATAAACTAATACTTAATGGCTGAAAAAATTCAATCACAACTCGATAAACGTCCAATAAATTTATGGGAATCCTTCCCACAAGCACAACGTTACTTTTTAAATTTGCTGTATAAAAAATAATTAATAGTACTCGATGATTTCAAATTTTTTGGAATTAATCTCAATGTATACGTTGTGATTTATTTGGGACTGTTGTATCTCTATCATTTAGTCGAGGTGCGTAAATTATTCGGCGCATATGTTATACATTATAACGGAATCGAAAAAAATATAATGAAGAGCTAACATCCTAGCGATTTGTTCTATAACTTATATATTTTTTGTTTGAGATCAGCCATCGTGAGAGGTTCGCTACGCGTCTAAACACGTATCGGTTCTGATTTATGCTTGCCACTTGTTTAATTGTTATGAATCCGACTTTTTTACGAACGAAAATCTTTATTTTTAGTCAGTTATTCATTACGTCTGTAATATTTACAAAAAAACACATCTAAGCGGCGTTAATAACGTATTTAACGTTGTACGAACAAGGCGGTTTGTGTAATTCTGTCAACAGCTATAGTCACTAAAGGCATTGAACACGAGATGTTCCGGTGACAACTGATTTATTATTAATAGATCTTTTCTTTGGCCATTACTAACATACAGAAATACGACCGCATCTACAAGAAACACTAAATTTAAATACCGTTCAAATGATTGATATACACAACATGAAAATGATCGATTATACCTACAAGTTGTGCGTCATTTGATTCCGAAGATTCTCAAGTTTGTTTTGAAAATAAAATTCAACAATAAATTTCATCTTTTATTTATTCATAATTGACATTTTTGCATAAAATATCCCCCCTAATTTATTCGAAATTTTTGTTGAGTGCGTATGTTTTACTATGTAAAACCGAAACGAACTTAAATTATGTAAATTGAATAACTTGAATTTATACAGTTACTCTAAAATTATAAAGTTAAAAGAACATTAATTATTTAAATGCCATTGGAACCTTTATTTCTAATGATATCTTAATGTTATTCCTCAATAACACTTTAATTTGTATATTTAATATTTTTATTTGAAAAATATTAGTTTAACTCAGAAGTAATCTCAATATTTATTTTACAGGGATTTATTGATTTTGTTACCTAATGTCTACACATTTCGATTTAGTGTCTACGTCGATAAATATTTAACTCTTATCGATAGGTATATCATATTCTCACAGCCTAGAATTTACATAAAAATTAAGAAAAGGAACTAAAAATATTTGAACTCACTTGCATCCCTTTTTTTAATTGACTTCTACCTTCTACTAAATGTTCATCTTACCATAAATTGAATTCATGTAACGTGCGTGCAACTAAGTATAAATCGAATATAAATAATGGAACACCCAGTATGTGTTTATTGAAATACGTGATTCAAATACAAAAATCCTGTAAAAGTTTTTCTCCCAATTCTTCCGATTGCAGAGCAGCTGATGTTTTAGAAGATTGCATTTTGTTGTATACAGGGTGTCCCAGTGACGCTTTCTACCAATGAAACGTTAAAATGTTGCGGTTTGTTTTACTTTCTAAGTAACAAGTCAATAAAAACGATTTGGTCCCTTAATTATTGAGTCACCTGGTAGAAAATAAACGTCTCGAAGTAGACACTAATTCGCGATAAATTTATTAGGTTGTCTTTGTGGCCCGTTGAACGTTTGTTTAATCAATTCTGTGTGTTGATCGATCCAGATCAACATCTGTATATTATCATATCAAGAATATAACATCAAAAGATTTTAGAACTTTAACTAGACCACCCGCCTCTCCCAAATGTAATGTTACAATGCAAATATTATTAGACTGCTTTCATTCAGTGAATTATCAGTTACAATGTATAGAAGTTACAATTTTACCTATGCGAATATTTGTTTAAGAATGATTTAATTTTATAGCTACTAAGTAATTTTTAATAGACGCATTATAAAATTATAGTTCGTATATATTAAAACGTGACGTGATATAGTATTCTCTTTCATAGACCGGCAGAGCAGTAACTCTTTTCCCGAATTATTATCTAAAGAAGACATCACTGGTAAATTATATTTCTAGAAAAGACCTTTTTAGTATACTCCCAGTGGTAGGGTGTTTGTAATATAGTAATATATTCATGCGGTTGGCGTTTTACAACCAAATTCAACTACATTATAAAGTTACTATCTACTAGAAAATGTAATATATGTGCGGACAAGACACTGTTGAAATATTTACGTATTTGAATAATTGGACGATGGAATACATTACGAGCAAATGGTCTTTTAACTAGCAGTTGTACGAATAAAATACGAATAAAAAATATAATATATGGCGGTGGTAAAAACGGTGGAATCCGAGGAAATAGATTGGTGCCGTAAAATTCGGCAATGTAGGTTTCGGGAACCCTTGTATTGTAATTACGCAATTTTCATGAACTGGGCTACATAAACTTATTTTAGTAGGTGACATTCAGATTCATCACACAATGAGATTTCATGCGTTCTAAACACGAACCATTTGATATCGGGCCAAGCCGGAAATACTCTTATTATACACTTGATAAAATAAATACAATTATTTAGTGTGATTATTAAAATTTCAATACCTATTTTGGAGAGACCTGAATTTTTCTTTTGATGCCGCAAAACTGCCATTAAAAAATACTTACAGATACGGGAGAATAGCACGAGTACAAGTCCCAAACACGACTTACCCAAAAACACCAAATCAAAAAAACTACGATAATTATATTCAATTGCAACTCTAAAGAGATTAATTTTTTAAGTAATATTAAGACGCTTTTGCGTTTATTATTCAAACAGGACACTAAGTATTATTTACCACCGTTTTACTTTCATTACATTTTTTTATATTACAGCCATGCAGATTAAATACGCTCGGATTAATTTCGCGCGTCCGCTTTTTAAGTACCTTCAATTTCATTACAAAACGGTTTTTTTTTCTCCAATATTTTGATTACAAGTTGTTCTCTACATTGGCACATGTTCGACATTTACAAATGAGATACACCCAATTTAAAGATCATTTTTGTTTGTTTCAGCGATATTGCAGAGGCTGACAGTCGGTATTGGCCAAATGAAGATTCAGGGTGTTGCTACCTGTCAGTATTTATGCATGGCTAGATGTGGATTGCTTTATGGATCGGTAGGTACAATCTTTTAATACTAATTTATTTTAATAATTAATTCATTAGTAGCTCGTTTATTTCGAAATTAACCCGTCTCCTTTAAAGGTTCCCGAAATATCTCATATGCATAGTAGGTTGATTTTAATTACTTTATCGCGTACACGTCCTTTTAAGAAAATTATTTTATTATGCCCACTTAAAAATTAAAACTAAATAACTAAAAATTTTTATTAGCATTTAATTGGTGTTCATAAGTAAACCTCGAACGGACGTATCGAACAGCGAGCGTGAGCAATTAGATAATTTAACGTATATTAAAGATGGTGAAGGTGAAGATGAAATATTATACATTAAGAGGGCCACCTACCTTTGTTTCGTAGGGATCCAATACTACTTTAAAGAGTTATAAATAACGACATAGATTGTCGGCAACTTTGTAACTTAAGTCTTGAATTATTGAGTTTAAATTGTTTGGAAAAATCTTAAATTCATCCTACTCGTTTGTATTCAAACTTACCGAATATTAAGCGCTATAAATATAAAGTTATGTTTCACTCGTCTTAATACCAACGGGACAATTAAGACGCATTAAAAAAGGGACTAAAATCTCGCTTAAGAGAAATGAAGATATCTATCAGGATGGCAAAAACTGTTTTGATTGTAATGACACCTGTTTAGTACTTGAGTAGCAAATCCAATTGTTGTAGAAAAGAGCTTACCTGCTTTTACAAAGAGATTCCCTTTCTTGATTGTCCGAATTGAATTATTACATTCGTCAATACAATAAAACGAGTAGACGAGATATAATTCTCGTCGGGAGAGATCCTGAAACAAAACGGTTCGTCAGTTGCGGTTAATTCGACTGTTAAAAAGCACACGACATATTTTAGGAGCTTTATACCTTATAAGGGTATGAATTTCAGGTACGAAACACTGCCTTGGTCGGTATGTAATAAAATTTATATTGAGGTGACGTGACACCCTCTAAATTCGGTAGCTAACCAAATGCACTTACTTCTTACACGTCTGTATATTTAAAATATTTGTAATACTGTCGATGAAAGCCGAATTATTGTACTTTTTTGAGAGTAGTGTTTTTCATTCGAACAATCACAAATAAATTATCGACAGCTCTTGGATGAAACTATTTGATAATTTGAACAAAATGGATTACATGCTTCAAAAAAAATAAATTAACTAATTGTGTGTAGCCGTATGAATCAGAAGGTCGATAAAATTGATGGCTCTATTGTGCATCCCTTAGAGAGAACAAACGAAATATTTTCAAAATTAATTACAGATTTTATCGTGACAATAGGCAATTTCATAAATTAACCGTCTTCCATATGTATATTTTCAGGAAAATTTTGATCACGAACATCTCTAGTGTATACTTCTAATTTGATGAACATGTTGCAGTAGAAAAATAAAAAAAATGGTTAAGGAGGTTTTTGTACCTACGTATTTGTTTAAGGGTTTTAACACAAAATTTGTTTCTGCTAAATCAGTATTTTAGTAAGAAGATTATGTATAAACCCAGGCACTATTCTTGGGGATGTCCAATGAATAAAAATACATGGATAATCCTTTAATAAAAGAACTGTTTCACAAGAGGCATTAACATTTCAATTGCATCTAAGATACCCTGTATATTAAGAAATCAGGATATTTTATATCCGATTCTGTATAAAAAATCTCGAGATAGAAATCAGTATCGCCTCCTATAGTGGACAAAGTTATACCATGTTGCACGAGTGGACAGATCTATGTACACGCGTATAACTTAGATAAGATCTAAGAGAAAGAGAAGAATCAACCCCCATTATACATTCTTCTTCGTAATTTAGTGACAGCGGGATAGTGATTTTCTTCGACAAGGTTTATGTGCGGATTTTAAGATAAGAAAAACATTGAATATTTCAATTTAACGCGAATCAGTGATGGTTAATATTCAGGTTAATTCAGGTTGTATCGCATTTCTGCTTCGGAATAATAACGCTCATAATTAGTTTGTATTCTGATTTTACGATTATTGTACATGTTGTCCTAGAGTTTGTCGTAATATCGAATAAATTCAGTAAAATATTACCATTAATTTTCTTAGATTTAATAAAACTTGATTCATTCGTTGCATCGATGTTTGTGAGGTTAATGATCGTATAAGCTTCCAGTTCTATTTACTTCACGTCTTTGTATGTATAAGCAGAGCAAGTTGAAGTAAGGAAATGAAGAAAACAGTTTTTTTACCTTTCAAGATTCGAACGGGCACCAATTTATGGGACGATTCTGATAATCTTAAGCTATGTGGATCTTTATGGTTAGTTTATGTGACAGTTCGGTCTCGATGTAAGAGGATTAAATCCAAAATGATATGGCTCAGGAAAGGATCGATGAAAGACAACAGACAATTTACATGAAACGAGCTTTAGACGGGCCTTTTCTATTATTTAATATGATGGGCATTTTGAGATGAAACATTTTTTAATTGCTTCGAAATATGTAGAAATATTGTTTTCGTGTAGATGCCTAATTTAACGAAACGTTTGTATTGTTTCAGAGAGAATTTGGAGACGAATGCGTGTTTAACGAGACCATCGAACAATCCAATTACAACACATACTCATCGACAAAATACTCAAACGACAAAAGGACCTTCTACTTGGCGTTGAACCAGCGCGGCCAGTCCCGCAAAGTGGTACTGCGAGCCCGTAAACCTCTAGGCAAATTGTCTTCGTACACTCTGGTCCTGACGAGGAACGTCGCTCCGGAACTGCACCCGATGCGGCACCACGGCCACGTCTGTCCGCCGTTACCTCACCAAACGCAGAAGTCCCATCCGGCCCATCAGCGGTGTCCCAAGCGAAGAAAACGAAAGAAGAAGAAAAGAAAATGTTCGAACGACGAAAACGACCCCGAATTATGTCATAAGAGACTAAACGTGTCGAAGCACAAGGCGCAAAATCGAAATATCCACAAGTGCGACGAGAACAGGGACAGTGAAACGTGCCAAAGAGACGTGATTAGAAAGAAACAACATAAATTAAGTAGTGACAAATCCGTAGTGAGTGATCCCAAAAGGAAAAAGAAGAACAGAAAAAGCCAGGGAATCAGGAAAAGGTTGGTGGAAGCCGTGGAAACGACCACCCTGGCTGCCCCTACGTCGACTCCTACTGAAGATGCTACTAATGACGAAGATTACGCCCTAGACGGGTATACTCATGGGGAATGGGATGATTCGACTTCCCTTCCTGACATACCTATGGCTGTCTCCGAAGCTACACCCAATTTAAATTCTGACTGACTCGCGCTTCATCTTTCTTTTTATTTATTCTATTATTTATTGTATGTAAATGTAAATAATTATCTATAAGTTAATATACCTCACCGTTGTATAACTTGTTCTTTTTATTAAAATTTCGTAGCTCCAAAGCTCTTTATTATATTTATTTATAAAAAATTAAATTTTTGTAATCCTTGAGGAAAATACAAAATCGTAAAAAAATTAAAGTTTCAAAATAGTTACAAAAATTTTAAAAACTCATTTAAAATGAATAATCAAAATGTAGAGATAATAAAAAAATCCTTTGAGAAACTATAAAAATTCTAGAACCTTCAAAAAAAAACTATCCTTTTTTATGAATTGAGACGTTTACTGTCATTTAGTAAATCCATTAAAAGCTATTCTAAATAATCAAAATTGAATTTCTACTTACTTAATTTTTGTTTTTCAATAATATTGATGACATCTATTAAAAATCTTGAATCACACAAATAATATATTTATCTAATAATGAAAAAAACTAAAATTTCTTGTCAATTTTGGAAATTTTGAGTTTAATCAAAAAATGACATCTAGTATCAAAATGAAACATTAACTTCTTTTTTATTATAAACTAATGCACATAGATGGCGCTGAAACGGAAAAATAAATCGGTGTCAAATTTCTTAACTAAACTGACTGTTATGTCACTGTCACCTGCCAATTTTGTCAATATCTTAAATGTCATATTAGCAGAGTTGTAGCCTGTCTTGGTGTATCAAAAAAGTTTCCCCACTGAGCTTGCGGCCTTCGGAAGCCAAAGCTTCATTTAATTCAAATTATTATTTATCAGAATGACCCGTAAGTAGGTTCGAATATTCTATTATGGTTTACGAAATGGATGCTATTTATTTAAAGGTGGCAATCAGCGCGAATTGGCTAGAGCAAAAAACCAGAAAAAGCAGAAGGAAATGGATAAAAATAAAAGAGCTGACGGTTTGACTGTCGAACAACGAAAACTTAGGTAAGTTTTGAACAGTTTTTTTGTATGTAGTATCCAATATATGGTAGAATCTTAATATTAAAACGGCAGGCATTTCTGAAATGTATTGTACCTAAGAGGCATCATCTACTTGTAGCTGTTTCTCCGGTAGTCTATGATCTGAAAAACGATAAGGGGGTCAGACTAAAACAACTCCATATGAAAGATCTGAAATCCGTTAAATAAACTTTTAGTCTAATAACTTAGAATTTATAATAGAACTTAGTTCTTAGAATTTAGTTATAGACTGTCCATCCTGATCCCTAAACGTACCCGCAATTTCGCTCCAACCCCGATGATTATCGCCCCGCTTAACCGCTTGTACCCTAGTCCTGTTTCTCGTTCGATATAATTCATTAACTTCGGAAGCAACCACTCCTCACCTAATCCCAAAAGGCATACGGGAAAAGGCCATTTGATCCGTCGCCTTCGATGTCATAGAGACTCTGTGACAGAACTCCAAAGAAGCTTTGGCTTCGTTTCCCTTATCCAACTGGCTCTCCGTCCTAGTGGAGTCTCCAAGGTTTCTGTCCGGAGAGGTTTCACCCGGAATTGACTACAGGTCCATCTGGGGGTATTTAGAAAGTAATAACGCAACATCAAGACAAGTTTTTTTTTATTCTAGATGTCGAACTTCTCTCGTAACAGTGCATATGTGGTTAAAATTTGTCGGATAAGTTGTGAAACACCCTGTACATTAGAAAAGCCGCTTAATTTTAATTGTTATGTTATTTAAACCTGTATATAAAAAACTGCTTAATTTTTCGAATTTAATAAAAATGTAAATGAAAAAGGTGAAAGTTTATTGCAATTTTGGCTATTAATAACATTTGGTTTTTCCATTTGAATATTTTAATCTGTGAAGAATACCTTTGATGAAGTGTACTAAAATTTTTGAAGCTAAAAACAGTATAAGTATCCTCAATACTGTTTTGAAATTTTCATCCTGTTAAAGAAAATGAAAAATCAGCTTTGATTTTCCGAATATTTGATATTAATTTCATTTTCTATAGCAACAATAGTAAGGTAAGAATAAGAGCGAGTAAAAAAGACCTGCATATGATAAGAATGTATATAATTCAAAATACACGCACTCATTCCTGGATGTTTTTAGTAGATTTTAAGTAGAAGAATTTGTTAGAAAATTTTGTTAAAAATTTGTTAGAATTTGTCATACCTTTGGAGCAGAATTAATATAACTATTACATTTAAACAAACAAGAAAGATTATTTTGAGTGAATATCACGAATCTTTTTTTTTATAGAGACGCTGAAGTAATGCGGGAAAAGCAGAAGAAGAAACAAGAAGACAGCGAAGTGAAGAAAGGCCAGACTTGTAAATAAGAGAACTGATATCTCTGAATTTCATAAAACGTGTAAAAATTTAGTTTTAAGTTCCTCCAATACTTTTATGACATATTTGGCAGTTTGTATTTGTGACATATGTAATATAATTAGTCAGTGTGCATTACTGTTTCATCCACTATCTAATGTTGCTCCGTAAATTATTTCTCTATTAATTCCTCTTATTGTTCTTCATCGCAGTATTTTTGTACGAAGTAGGTTTCACATTTGCTCCTATTAAGTCAATTCTTGTTAATTAATTTAGTTAGGTACGAATAAAACAGGATTGTTTTTCTTTTTTTACTGCTTTTATAGATGGTGAATAAACTAATAAAAAAGTATGTGGAAATTGGTAATTTATAATTTACCTAAACAATTACCATTGTTGATGATATTCCTTAATTCAGGAAATTTAAACAAAACTACCTCATCTAAACTAGTACGAAGAAATTTAATAAGACTATAATTTGTTATATTAAATAACTATTCGCAAAATACGTTATTGTTATTATTAATTATAATTTAAGATTTAAAAATAAATTGACATTTCCCTTTCCACCTCAATTTTAATAAACACGACTTACAGTGTTGTCATATTGTCGATAATTTAATTAAAATAATAATATTCGGATTTATAAATTAATAATGGACAATATATTACACGAGTAAAGCATTAAAGCAATAACAAAATTGAAAAATATTAACTGAATTAGGATTAATAAAGCAAAATGTTGCACGGGTTTAATTTGCCGGCACCGGTATTAGAGACATTCGTTGTGACATCTGACATTTAAAATAAAAATTGATTATTTTGAATATTTTGACTTTGACACTAGAAGTAGAAGGTGAAGTGAAATGAGGGGGTGTATAAAAACAGTGAAAACAGTATTAAATGTCGATTGTTAACCTAATAAATAGAAAGTATTTTTGAATTTTGGTAGTAATTAAGTTAACAAAGATGGCAATGTATAAAGGTTTTCGTGTCTACGAAAAATCAAAGCCGCCGAAACCCACAGTGTTCTTTTAGAACATAAAGGGAAAGAAAACACATTATTATTTGAATCGCAAGCAGTCGCTGTTTTGTGTAAGTTTATAGCAAACTTTATTTAACATTCGGTAATTTGCTTATTCTTTCAGCTGCCCTAGAAACCGATGCAGTTAAAAAACAGTACACAAAACTGCTGGATGCTTATGGCTGTTTAGGTGTTCTACAATTAAATTCAAGTGACACTACAGTTCTTTACTTAGTAATGATAACAGGCTGCTTTTCCATAGGAAAAATAGGCGATTCTGAAGTATTTCGAATAACACAGACTCAATTTGTTCCATTGCATTATTCTCAAAATGAAGATCGGATAGCAGAAGTAACACATCAAAATACACATTTAGTATTCGGTTATGTAAAGAACTTGTTTTAGGTTCGTAAACTGCTTAATTCAGGCACATTCTATTTCTCTTGGTATTCAGGAGCGCCCGGAGGAACTCCTTTAGATCTAACTCTATGTGCTCAAAGGAGAAGTAGAACGTCACTGACAGATCATAGATTTTTCTGGTATGCCAATGAAGCAAATTCAAACAGCAAAGTGTTCATATTGAATATTGTATTTCAGGAATCGCATGCTCCATGTGCATTTAGTAAGATTTGGTGTCGATTGCAATAGTTGGCTAGTAAAAGCTATGTGCGGTTCTGTGGAAATGAGAACAGTTTATGTAGGACACAGGAAAGCCTTAGCTGCTGTAATCTCTAGATTGAGCTGCGAGAGGGCAGGAACGAGGTATGTTTTTTTTTTCTTGCATCATATTCTGCACCTCATTTATAAATATTTAGGTTCAATGTAAGGGGCACTAATGATGAAGGGCATGTGGCTAATTTCGTGGAGACTGAACAAGTTATCTATTTAGAAAACGAGATTTCTTCATATCTTCAAACCAGAGGATCAGTTCCTTTATTTTGGGAACAACCTGGAGTACAAGTAAGCTTACATTTAACAATAAGTACATCTGAATATAAAATACTTGGTTTTAGGTGGGTTCTCATAAAGTAAGGATTTCAAGAGGTTATGAAGCTTCAAAATCTGCCTTCAATAGGCATATGTCAGCCATTAAGGAATGGTACGGCAAGCAAGTCATAGTAAATTTATTAGGAACTAGCCTTATAGGAAGTAAAGAAGGTGAAGCAAATTTAAGCCAAGAATTTCAGGTAAAAGTAAATCACTAGCTTGTGACATTAATTACTATAATTTCTTTTTATTGTAGAAGCATCATAAAGAATCAATTCACAATGATGTACCTCATGTGGTATTCGATTATCATCAAGAATGTCGTGGTGGAAACCAAAATAATTTGCAAAAACTCAAAAATAAACTGGAGCCACATCTTCAAGAATTTTCTTTTTATCATGCAAATGGTCCTACTATTTTCAAGTAAGCGATATTTCTATAAAACATTACTGTATGATTTTTATTACATTATTTTACAGTTTGCAGAAAGGTACTGTCCGTACTAATTGTCTCGACTGCTTAGACAGAACTAACTGTGTACAAACATTCCTTGGATTAGAGGTTGCACTTTAGATGATTCTTTATTCATTAAATGTAATATTCATAATAAATTTTAGTTGCTGGCACAACAATTAATTTGTATGCAGTTAATAGACAAGAAACAAACAATTTCCAGATTCGAAGAGGTTTTTAAGCAAATGTGGATCAATAATGGAAACGAAATTAGTAAAATTTATGCCGGAACTGGTGCAATACAAGGCGGATCAAAAGTAAGTAACACTTTGCCAAAATAAACATGTTTTCATTTGCATTATTTTGTACCGTTTAGTTAATGGATGGTGCAAGATCCGCCGCTAGGACTATTCAGAACAATTTACTAGATAATTCTAAACAAGAAGCTATTGATATACTCCTTGTTGGTTCCACATTGTCCTCTGAATTAGCAGACAGAGCCCGAAACCTTCTACCATACAATACCCTTCACGGTAGGTTCATTTGGATTGTGTAATCAAAGGAAAAATAATTGCAATCATTTTTAGCACCGAATCAAGTTCTAAGAGAAATGTGCAGACGTTTTACAGAATACACAGAGCCAGTGTTGATTCGTGTGGCCGCAGGCACATACAACGTCAATGGCGGAAA